ACTTGCTGAACGGTAGTGCCACTCTGCATCGGTCCCTTGGCTTCCTGCTCCGCCCACTATGGTATGTCAAAAGGCACGGTAGCTCTACACGGCCCTTTATGGAGACAAAGGGAAATTATTACAACTGTAGTTATAGGGTAATCACAGAGCGGGCTGTCGAGGGGTTTTCAGCAACCTTATGAGTAGTGCATTACAAAATAATCAGAAAGTGTTTCACAAGGTCATGTTAGAATCTCTGTGAGGGGGCGAGAAGCAATTCTAGCTGCCACGATTTCGATCACCGGAAAACGGGAATGTGGAACGCACACGCCAAGCCTTGGAGACGGAGGCATGTTCAGTTTGTTCGGAAATTGGGTAGCTACGCACTGAAGGCGATAGCTTTGATGCACGAGCGCAATTGACTGCGCGATTGGGCCATTTCCGCCAGTGTCATTAACCATTGGTGATTTGAGTCCCGGGTCCCCATCCAGGAAGGCGGCAGTTGACAGCCCGACTAAATTTACTGGCTAGTGTTTTCGTACTCCGTTGATTACTAATCCGATGTTCCCACCAGACCTGACCAATGCTTCGGAGACACCGATGATCAAACACTGACATCTTCCGTATGTCCTTTGTGCGTGGGATTCATGTCTCTGATCCATAAAGCAGTATGGATCGCAACACCGCACTGTAAACTCTTCCCTTGACAGAAAATCGGTCTCCTCGTTTTCACGGTTACTTCATTTATTCATTTACACACTGGGATAAAAATCAGTATTCATGTGCAGGCGTGCTGATGTGTGCTATCTATTTTATCTTATCTTAGCCCAAAATAAAAACCCACTACCTAAGCTTGACATCAGTCAGGAAGCAAGCATAGAGATATAAGCTATTGCACATCGGGTTTGGTTTACTTCTTCACCTGTATCTCTTCAGATGTATACTACAGAACGATGTCAGGCGAATAAACAACATACGACGAGTCTTTATCAGCTGGTTATCGAATCATCAAGGCATTGCCCACGTTAACATCGATTCCTTACGTTCACTCAGTTCTGGTTTCCACCTTCTGATAGCAATAGATTAAGCAGGTCAGTGGTTGAGGTGCAAGCTTACTGACCGGGAGGTTTGTGGTTCGAACACAACCCCAACATCCCCACTGTTCCTGTCTGGGCTTGGGCAATCCGGGACTATCTTATCTCTCGTGCTTTCTTCGGGTGACATGATAGCCAGATACCGAAAGGGTGTTAAAGCTGAGGGTTCACATTCACCTCAATATTCAGGGTTTCCTGATGCCTTACGAAGTAGGTGTGAAAACACTGCACTTTTAGGCATAATACACTACTCATATGGTTGTTGAAAACTCTTCGATAGTCACCGACCGGTTTCGCCCTTCTTGGGGCTTATCAGGTAGGCGCAGTCCCCAAGTTTCCGTCAACCTTATGTTCTACTTGAACCCAAATTGCACGAAATTAGCGAAATACACTTATCTGCATACCAATTTGGTTTTGGGAGCCTAGTACAGCACATTCAGTTATTTGTAGACGTCATCAACAATAGATTCAGCTGGGTTCTAGGTGAACCTCTCGTCAAAACCAACTTGGTATGCAAATGAATGTACGTCACTAATTGCAGGTTAAGTCCGTTAGGTGGAGGTATAAGGATGGGCCAGGAGAGGAGTCCGCTACCGGCTGCTGCCGACCCCAGTTGTGCGCAAGTCAAATGTAATTGATGCGATATTGATTAGAAGAATGATCACCCGTGGGAGATCCACTCTGCCGGACACGCACAATGAATGTTGCCAAATACATCGCAAGTCTAGCGCTTTGAACAACATGAACAAAAGAGGGAAGAAGTTAACCAAGGTAGTGATGAAGATATCCCCCATTACATCAAAGTTTGAAGAACACCAAATCTGAACAAGGGACATACAATTCAAACGGATCTAACACCCATCTTACAAGAGTTTTGGGCGGGTGAAAAAGCGGTAGCTAGACACACATACCTTGATTTTGAGTTTTTTCAGTAGCACATTGACATCTTCAAAAGATCGGTAGTCGACCATCGACTGTTCCAGAGAAAAGTTGATCTTATGGTCCAGTTCATGGAGGTTCTCAAGAAACTCTTGCTCTGTAACTGGGGTGAAGAGTATGTGCCTGGAAGAGATTAGAAAGAACGACTTATTAATCTGCGCACACAATGTCAAACACAACCGATATCGTGAGTGCAACCAATATGTTGGCTAACCCGCCTTCAAGCTTGGGCATACTATTCAAGCTAATTTCGTCACTGAACTGAGCAGGTACATCGTCATCATCATTGAAGGCAACAAATCAGCAACAAATGCTGGTGCTTAACTGTCATATAACCAAGAGAAAAAAAGGCTAGTGGAAAGGCAGTAGATGAGCGGGGACTTATGGCCAGAGTAAGGTCGGTGAAATCCGCAACGAAGAGACTGGACCTTGCTGTGGTGTGACGGTTTGCGCAACTCAGCGACCCATTGAGCTATACTGGGAGGTGTCCCCGCGACACTCACAGGATCTTTCATGCCAACTTGGTCAATGGAGAGAGATCTGACGAACACAGTCACTTGGTCCTCCAGGTTGAAGTTGGAACATGTGGCGACTTGTTCCGTAGAAATGGTAATGCATTTGCATTTCCCGCCTAACACCGCTGCCTTGCGGTTAGGCTTTTGAGCCAAAGGCTCTGGCTGAGAACCTTAATCGTCCTCCCCTAGAAGTATCCCAGCTTACGTACAATCATGACACCTACAACTAACAGTAATCTCACGCCACATCGGCCGTCGCGTGGTATTATCAGTCGCCTTAGTTGCTGCACACAGTAGGGCGGGTAGGCGAAAACAGGCTACTGCTGACGCCTCCTTTTTCCCTTTCCCATACTTCATCCCCCTCTCCCCACCCCGTTAATAGCTCTCCCCTTGTAGGCCCAGCACTTAGGACTGATGACTCCGTTCGTCATGCATCGGTTTTGCGTGCAGTATATGCTCGTCACATGGCGCCTACATCCTTAGGTATCTCTAAATCAAGCTTCAAGCATCGACGCCAAGTTTATCTGGCCCTCTTCAATGTGCGCACTCTGAAACAAGCAGGACAACAAGCTGCTTTTGCTCACACTGAACTCGCTTGGCATTGATGTGTGCTGAGTCTCAGAAACAAGAATTCAACATGCACGCAGTGATTGGGACAACAGCCCAATCAGTCTCCACTCGCTTCCGGCCGCGCACCTCTGGTGATCCATAGGCTGCTGCGGCGAGATGTGCAGGGGCTGGTATCGTCCTGAGTCAGCGGGCGGAAAGATCTCTGCTTGACTTGAGACCCATTGATAGTCGTTCGTCTGGGAACATCGGTAAAAGAGTCTCACAAGCGATAACTTGATAGATGTCTGTTTATGGTATCTGCCTACGTCCCAACTGACTGTAGCTCCGACGCCATCAAAGTTTTATGAGGTCTTGAATGCCCTGTCGCGGTGAGCTAAAAGCTCAGAAATCATGGTGGTTGCCGGAGATATGAATGCACAAGTGGGCAGGCTTAGCGTATCTGGGACTCAAGTGCGAGGTCGACACGGACTGAACTCAGTATGTACGGACAACGGCGAACGATTGCTTCAGCTGTGCGCTGATCGCACCGAAATGGCCGAATTCGTCTAGCCACATGGTGCCCACCAAGGGCATGCAGGCCACAAACTCAAATCAATCGCACTGCCATCAGTTACCGATGGCGTGGATAAATAACTGACTGCTGCTCGTTATGGAACACCTTTGTAGGTTCTGACCACGCGCTCGTCCGGATTCGCTTCTCCCTACGTTCTCCAGGGCCGCCTAAGATGTGGACAAATCGCTTGGCAACTGAGAGACTGGCAGATCCGGATGTCAGACGAACTTACCAGAATCATCTTCTAGAGTCCCTTCCAAATGCGCCACCATCAGATGTGAACTGATACTGGGACGGGATTGTCTCCTTTTTGCATAGTGCTGGAAATTTAGTCTGTGGCCCGCCATCACCAGGCCCGCTCAAGCATTGAATATCAGACCGAACGGTGGCACTACTTAAATTTCGGAGCGTCCGAGCAGATTGTGAAGTGCTGTGGATACAGAGAGCCAAGAAAATGAAAGAGACCGGTAGCGCCCGAATACTATTTCAGTTGAACCGTGCGACCGGCCCCCGGAAACCACCTGTGAGCGAAACCACCAATGATCAGGAGTGACCATCTCGAATAAAGAAGAATGCCTCGAACAGTGAGCCGATTACTTGGAACAACAATCGTCATGGCCACCAGCTGGCACTCACCTGGAGCCCACAGGTGACATAGAACCCTGGAAAGTGAACTTGGAACCGCCTCAGCCTCGGAGCTTTACGACTGCGGATGACCTTCCACCAGCGTTGTTCCCCCGCAAGTCCCGTCAGAGCTTGTCTGGTCCGTTTCCTTGCATCTGTAAAAAGGAGTACGTCCCGAACAACTGGGGAGAGTCGGTTACAGTGCTCATTTTCAAGAAAAGGTGTGTGGCAACCACAGAGAGATCAGCTTGACCCCGGTCGTAACGAGGCTGTTGGCGTCAATTGTGCTTCGTCGCCTTACGGTGGCTTGCGAAATACTGACTTGAGAGCAGCAAGCGGGATTCCGGCCTGGTGGGGGTTGCGTTGACCACATCTTCCCACTCCGTCGGATGCTAGAACAACGTCATACGTATAAGCGGCCCACAATTCTAGTGTTCCTGGATTTCCAAGGCTCATTCGACTCGGTTGACCGGTATGTTCTTCTTCACACGCTTGCCCACCAAATAATGTCCCGGTATTTCGTGAACATAATAAGCTCTTTGTATTCCCAGACTTCCAGACGTGTGAGAGTATACGGCGAGATCTCCAAAAGCATCCGTACACACAAGGTTGTGTGTTTAACTTCATGACAAACAAAACCATGGAACGAACACTGGAAGCTCTCCAAAACCCCGGTGTTCAAACATTGTGACAAAAACCTTGTCGACCTGGAATATGAAGATGACATCGTTTTCATCCTCAAAGAGCAGAACTGAGGAGGATGAACTGACCAAAGTCATTCCGTCCTTTGTACCCGTAAAGTGTAAGGTCATGTTCCTGGACATGCAGTCACTGAACACACCACTTACAATCCAGGGAGAGGCACTGGAAGTCGTGGAGCGTTTTACGTATCTTGGAAGTTGTATTATTTCTGATTGAAGTGTGACAAACGCGGTCAATGCACGAATATGCAAGGTCGCGTTTTCTAATTTGGGACACCTATGGCGTCAAAGTGGTGTGTCCCTGAATCCAAAGGAACCATCGTATGCCGAAGAGAGTGCTGTTTCCCACGCCCAACTCAGAGTGTAAGCAGAGAAGTGGACAACCCTTGACCTGGCACAGGGGTGTGAAAGAAATCACGAAACGCTTGGGTGCTGTCGGTGCTACTCGCCTTCCAGGATGGTAACCGCGTGATCCTCACTGCGCCTGGTCGGAGACGCTGCAAGATATGGCTGCCAACCGATGTCAGGGGCGATCTTGTTGTCAGTTTCTATCCAGATTGTCTCAAGGGACACTTTCAGCAAGCTAGCGCCAAATCGCTTCCCTGTCCACCTTTATTCTTTTCTTCACCATAAGGCTTTCGAATGAATCATGGTTATACGGCCGCGAAGCAATGGTGTTGAACACTGGTTTCATGCTGTCGATGACAAGGATGATGAAGGCCGGTGGGGGCGAGACGGCCCAAGTGGTTAGAGCGCGAATTTTCTGACCAGAAGGTTTGAACCCAACCTCTGCCTCTCGACTTCCCCGGTTTATGTTTATCCCAGCCCTCGTGCAACCTTCGGGTGGTATGGCAGTTAAGCACCAAAAGGGTGCTGCAGCTGAACGATGAAGGTTACTGAATTAATTTCAGGATATCTGTTCGCACACGGTTTCCAAAAAAGATGTTCTGTATACTGCTTTCTCATAATAAGTGTTTTTAACGGATTGAACGGATGAAGGAAGGTGTTTTGCGATATGGTAGGGCTAGTATTTATTCGGACGTCTGTCTAGGGGCAGTCAGCTGAAAACTGGTAACGGGAAGCAAATGAAGGTAGTCCTGAGGCAAATAAAATCTAACTTGAGGCTGACAGACAACGGTTTCGTCCAACTGCTTCTCTTGTACGTCACATTTCGTTACACAGAGGTTAGAGGCGCTCCCAGAGATAAAGTTTGGCGGACATAATTCGAAAGAAATTCCAAATGAACTTCATCATGTTTCAATTGTGACAAGGCAGCTCGGCTGGCAACGCAGTTTGGGCTGACCAGTTGTCGGGAGTGGTCAGCAAGAGAACTGGGGAACAGCCTACGGAAACATGAATTTGTCGTCTCGCAGTCGAGTAACGTAGCATGTTACACACATCCATTGAGATTCGGGTATGTGCCTCATTGATTGCATAGGTATCTCAAATGAGCGAACCCGACGGACCCAAGCCTTAGAGGTTTGTGCATTGACCTCATCTGTCACATTACAATCAGAACAAATTCAACTTCCAAGATACGTAAAATACTCCACAAATGAGTGTCTCTTCCTGAATTGCAAGTCATGTGCTCAGTGAATGCATGTCCAGGAGCATAACCTCACATATTTTGGGTGCAAAGCAGGACGGGTTGACTTTTTTCAATTCATCTAAAAACACCTGCGCCTTCTTCCCTTCGAAGACAAGAACAATGTCGTTTGCGCATTCCAGATCGACAAGGTTTTTGCCAGCAGCATATCAGGGTTTTGAATACCTTCCAGCGTTCGCCTCATCATTCAGTCCATCGTGAAACTGAATCGAAATGGAGAGAGTGGGTAACGTTGTAGGACACCTATTTGAGTGCGGAATGTTTTGAGGAGTTCTCCATATATACACAACAGGAAGCACGAGAATACAAACCTCCGGGGCACTTCTTGCGAAGCAATGGTGTTAGGGAGAACAAATCGGTCAGCTGAGGTGAACGCGCTTGGAAATCCAGGAATATCAAAGTGTTGTGGTGTTGTTCTAGAACATGGGAAATGCAATGCTGTGGTCATGACAACTCCTACCAGATTGGAGTTCCACCTACTGCTCCCCAGTGCACGTTTCGCTAACCATCACAAGGCAACGAAGGACAAGTGACAGTATCGTTACGACTGGAGTCAAGCTGATTCAGACTTCATTGCCGCACTCATTACGGGCCGTTTTTGAAAACGGCCACCGACTCTCCCAAGTTGTCTCGCATAGTCTCCTTTCCCTAGATTCAGGCAAACAGATCAGACAAGCACTGTCCAAGGACTTCACTCCCATCTTTGAACAGTGCATGTGGGAGGTCGTCCGGACCAGAAGCTCGGTGGTCTTGGAAGAAAATATACAGTCACAAATCTCCGAGGCCACAAGGGGTTCCGATTCCACCACCAAGGTTCTACCTCACCTGTGGAATTCAAACAACTGGCAGAGATTGATCACGAGAACTGTTGTCCGGCGATCGAGATGTCCTTCTTTATTCATTATGGTCACGTCATTTTAATCCTTGATGATTTAGCTCACAGGCGGTTTCCACTACCAGGACGAGTCCTGTCCATAAGTGTCAACCGAAACCGGGAAATTGGGCAACATGAAAAGTGAGCAGTCCGGAGGACAGACATGAATGCTGGTGATTGATCAGTTGGAAGTTGCTCTGTCCACCAGGCTTGAAGTCGTTTGGTCGCTAATCGAGATGACGTCATCAGCGTCTCAATTGCCAAGCTTGGTGATCAACCACCAATGAAGGCATCCGAGTTACCAATATTCTTACTCGGTGGGCTTTTTATGCTATGGCATTCTAGCGTTATTATGAAAAGGATGCATCGTCAAAAATGGAGGGACAACAATTGGCCACTAGTGTGAAACGAATAAACGATATGAAGTATATACTCACTTAATGAGCTGTTCTGGTATTGCCATGTCAGATAAAAATTGACTGAGCTGCCCGCGGACCGCCTAATGGTGAAATCAACAATCTACGTTTACCGATCTATATTAAAGTTACCTGACGATTTTGTAGACGTTTGTTCATCAGCGTTGATTTCAACTGAAGATCTTGAATCTCAGAACTTATTGTGCCAAGATCATTATGGAAGTTTGCAAGGATAGCCTCCATTCGCTAAGACGTCATCGTTAACTTAAGAAAACATTTTTAACATACTTGAAGGATGGCATCACACGCAGAAATCTGATTGTGTAGGTTGGCAACCTCCGGACCGACGGCGATGTCTATTAGGAAGGGTTAAAAACAACTTAGTAACCAACATCGTTCAACGAGACGTTCTTCTAAACTCGCGACTTCGTCGTCCACTTGAGTAGCGTATTGACGTAGGTCAACGTCCTTGGAAGAGATTAGTATTAACAGGTACTAAATACTTACTGAGTTAAACGCAATTTCTTCGATCTCTGTCTTAAGCTGTTCACTGATACCTGGAAAAAAGAAAACCTGAAGAACCCGGGATATCCTTACCATCGGCTCCAAACATTTATGTAATGGTCCAAGGTTAGTTTAGAAACACAAAGGTTCAGAACTCTATCGGTGGGAACAGTTGTCTTTGTCGGGTATCTGGCATGCAGCGTGAAATAGGTTTAATAACCAGTTTTCTGTGGAACAGGAATTTGAGTAAAATAAGGGTACAAAACTGGACTAAAAAAGCAAAAAAACGTTGTTCTTTTCAAAAATGGATCAGCAGGGATCCAGATCAAGCGGGTACCCTCTCAGATGACTAACCGGACCAGCAACTCCATATTCTTCTCATCAAACGAATCCATTGAGGATGACAACCCGTGTGATACCTTCACAGTGGAGCGATGACAGTGCTGATGATTGTTCGAAAAGTCGTCGTCTGCAAGATCGCCAAAAGCTGTTTATAGGGAGAAAACTCCAAGACTTTGGAAAGAGACGGAATAAAAAGAATTCCAAAGCTATTAAGTAGCTTTCGGCAATAAGTGGGACATCAGATCACTTATGGGGCGAAAAAATGCCTAATGTTGAAGCAGACAAAATGTCAAAGGGAGTTCTGGAGCACAACTTTGGAACAAAACTGGGAGTCACTAAGACGGGTCCAGAACTGACGAAGGACAGCAAACAGTATGGGATTGCAGGCAACCGAAAGTGGGCTGCTGGGACAGAACAAACGCGTATGGAGTTTGAGAGTATAAGAGGAACGGTGAATTTTCTGCCAGTCATTGATATGGCCTTGGGATTGCCGCTTACACTGAATATGGGGCCATATGGTGTTAAAACTTAAGGCTGATTGATTTTGTTAGACTCCGGAGTGGTTGATTCCAGTTGCCGCGTTCGACAGTTGGAAAGCATCCTAACCAACGAACATGTTTATCGCTGACGATTACAGATGCAAGGGAGTTACGGGCCGCGACATAGTCATGGCGTGTAAAAGACGAGGAATTCACAACCCATTACTTATGCATTATGTGCTCCTTCTTAACTACACGAATATACACGTGGTGGAAATATTCAAGGGTTGCTTGTTCGTCTATCTCAAAGGAACCCTTCCTCAACAAAGACTGAACAGTCATCCGACGAATGAAGTTATCGCCTTGATTGAATAGTACAAGAACTCGAGTTCGCGGCCACCAGTCAGACGGGAAGCGCGCACGAAAACAGGATGGAAAATACTCTTACTTGCACGGCTTCGACGGAAAATTTTTCAGCACCCTTATGAGTAGCGCCACGGTTAGGAAGAAATGATGGTATGTTTCGATCAAGGGAGCTAAAAACTGCGTGTCGCCTTACGAATAGGGATGGTGCCAGCACACATTGGATGACGGCTCACCAAATCAAGCGAGCTCCGTTGACACAGAAACAGTTTATTGAAATGGATGCATTCATGTAAACTTAATGGTATTTCAAGTGAAGGTTGGTACAAAAAAGCGGTGGAAGTTTTTCAAAGCTCCATGGAGTACGTGGATCGCGCAAGCTGCCAGTATTTCAGTTCAAAAGGTTTATCGAAGAATATCTACGATGTCATGAAAATGCTTTCTGTGAGCTAATGTAAGGTGGCACTTAGCTGCAGATTCGTTTACACAAAATTGACGAGTAAACTCGATAAGTACCTTGTCGTAAGGTGAGTTCGTCACCCTTACGTGATCCTTTCGTAAAACAGAGGATGACAGTATAAGGAGTAGGAGTCCTACGGTCGAGACTAAAACTCATCCGCGTGGTAAACCATACTCTGAGGCTTTGGGTGGTCGAGGGTATCAGGTGTGGCTCCGAGTTTCGACAGACCTCTACTGTCATCCCTCACAGGCTTAAGGATACCCTTCTTGGAACTAACACCGTGTGTTTAAAACCGTTCATGCTCGCGGCCTCTGAGCCGGAAATTGAATGAACTAAACTGTTTCATACAGTAACTTAAGTGTGGCTGATAAAAACCTCTCAACGAATCCGTCAAGAGACTGGACTTTACCGTGGTGTGACGGTTTGGGTACCTCCGCGACAGACTGAACTATACTGCAGAGGCGTCTAAGCGACACTCAGTCTCCCATACCAGGTTGGTCAGTAGTTACAGGTCTGACCAACACGGTCTCCTAGCCCTCTGGGTTGGGGGTTAAACGTGTGGAGACTTATTCTGTAAAAATTGAAGTGCATTTGTTTTTCAAGCCAAACACCACTGCTTTGTGACCAGGTTTTGGTATAGAAGCCTGATCATCCTCTTGTCTGGATGTGGGCACCCTGACAGTATTTCAGCCGACGTACAATTATGGATTGTACTTATACGAATAAACTTATGCCGCATCGGTCGTCGCGTGATGCCATCAACCAGGTCGCCTTACTTGCTGCATATAGCAGGGCAGATAGGCGAAAACAGGTTAATGCTGATACGTCTTTTTTTTCTTCAGATTCTTTTCTCCCCCTCTCTCCAAACCAATAATAGGCCACTCCGTATAGACCCAGCAGTTAGGACTGATGACTCCGTCCTTCATCGGTTAAACACTGATGTCATGCTGCCGATGATGATGATGATCCCTACGATTGTGTTGTCAGTGAGATACGGTCAGAGAGACCGCGGGGTCTGTGATGGATTCCCCATGGCCTCGTCATGAGCAGCGCGATGAGCCATTCCCTGAGGTCTCGTTGTCTGAACGTCGCGGATAGCTATATCATTGCGCATGTTTTCATTGCCCACAGTCAGGTACCTCCTAAACTGCAAATCATGTATCATGATTTAGAGGGAGTATAGGACAAGTAGGCCTTCTTGAACGCGGGCAGTTTGGTAGGCGGATAGTACATGTAGAGACGCTTGTATTAGTTCAGTTTTCAACTCACAGACTGTGCACTGAGGCGCAGCAGCTCCAGCTTCCACAGCTTAGTTCACTGCGGATAATGAGAAAAGGTAAAACAGCCGTGCGTTCGATGAGCTGGCCCAAGGTGTGAATTCACACGCTTGTTGTCAGTTAACTGACAACAAACGAATCGGTTGGTGCAATATCATATATCATATCATACATTTGGAGCAAAAGAAAAATTCTGTGTACACTCCATTGAGAAAAAAATGCGAATATCATTCCATGCACGCCCTTGGTCCGCTAGTGGAATAGCTGGCTTTCGGGACCAGAGAGGAGGAGATATCCTCACAGGATCATAGATCAGATAAATGTTCATCCAAAT